CTGATTTAAATCCGTTTACCAAGAAAATAAATATAGCAAATGTAATTTCTCTTGTGCATTTTTTCTGTACATAAACTTCTGTTTCCAAAAGCCAAATACAAAAGAAATAGCAAGGGTTTCGGTAATAACAAAAAATGAAGAAGGAAAGATCGTGACGAATTGTTCCAAATCTTACACTAAAATTATTGTTCGAACAAAGGCTTTATTGATTTACGACACGAATTACTTAGTAACATTCCTACAGAAGTTTGTCAGCTGAAAATACTCAAATATTTAGTTGCTCTGTGTCATACGTCAAACTAAAGTTGCACATCTATTCCTCTTACAGTATAAGGTATTGTGACAGATTTAATTTTAGAAAACGTACAGTTTCTACATATTTTATTCTTAACATTGTTTAACGCAAACTGAAGTTTATTATGAGACATTTCTATAAATGTAAAAAAAAACATCACGGCCTATATCTCCAGAATGTAACTTTATTAGCTCAATATATCGCTATTACAGCTTCGTCAGGAGCTATGGATATCCTATAAGTTCCCTAATCCAATTAAATCTAAGTTGGAATACTGTCATTCGAAAATCGAACATTGATCGTGTTTAGAAAGATCATATTATATAAAAGTAATATCAAACATTATTGAATTTATATTGTTAAGACGAACCACATCAACAATGCAAGATAAATATTCTATTCTAAGTCAAACAATGTTAATAATTTACTTATTGGTTTACAGCCGTATTTTTACCAATTTACCTGGGATTTGGTATAAAGATACTTTTCTACAAGTTCCATACATTGACAAACAAAAAATTGATGAACTTGTCTATTTTGAGTAATTATAGATGGCGTCAAGATGCCATAAAAAGCATAATTTTAGGTTGTTTTTTTTTTACGATTACTTCTCCATATTTCGGCCACTTTACATGGGATTTAGTACAAAGATATTTTTTACAGGTTCCATTCATATATATATATTCATAAATGTGAGACATGCGCATTTGGGGGGTCAAAAGGTTAAAGAAACCCATAAGTTTAGGGGGTTTGATCAATTACTTAGTCTTATTTCGACCAATATACATGGAATTTGGTACAAAAATACTTTTTTACAGGTCGCAAAAAGCGAGGAAAGCACAATTTGGGGTTTTCGTGAACCATTCATGTGTATGTCAACCAACTTACATGGGATTTTGTACAAAGGTACCTACTTGCAGGTCCCAGGTATTGATATAGATAGTTTTCGATTTTGCTGGTCTCAAAATTGACAAGGTTGAGATCACGTGGCGAAGACATGTTTGTATTTGCCCGCGAATGTTGGCCTCTTTAATTTTATTTTATTTTTGAATTATTTTAACTATGTAGCACGCCCTCTATCTCCAGAATACTATTTTTGTAACTTATTGCTTCTATGTTATCCTACATATATATTATATAACAGAATTCCGTGTACACAAAGCACGGATTATTCAACCAATGTCATACATTTAACATTATTTAAACTACATTATTCTAAAATAAGGTAGTTTAATTCTAAACTTTACAAAATCAGTTCTAACATTAGTAGCAATTTTATCAAAAAGACAGGCTTCAGACCCCAAAAGTGAATTTATTTTACTATGATAATAAATACAAAGATTGATTTTTGCCAACAAACTAATATAAGGAGGTCCATACTGTACTACGATAAATAATGTACCTATTATTTATATCTAAATACAGCGTACGCCTGTGTACACATGTATATAAAGTATTCAAAATACCTATGGAAATGGGGAGGAAAATTATATAAAAGGCAAATACAATAGAAATATCACCCCTTTTATTGTATGAAAATGTGCATTAGAGTACGGTCACGTGTTGATAGTTTACACTATTATTGCTTGTCATACAGCCAATCAGAGCGTCACACATGTATAAAGCCTTTGAAAGTACAGTGAATCATACTATACCCAGTAGTAGTGGTGCAATTCTGTTTATGACTCCTAGGACTGAAATATCGCAAGAAAAGCGTGTAAAAGTCAAAGTTTTCATTTGTGGAGGATACCTCCGGTTTAAGTATGAGCTGAAGTTTTATCTACTCCGAAAGTTAGGGAATAAATAAATATATCTTTTTTTTTAGTTGTTTTAAACAAAATAGTGCGAGCTGTATAAACATACATACATATATATATACTAAATGTATATTATTGATGGTGAATATTGTTGGAATAATGTATTTAAACAAAATTCAAATGTTGGACAATGATTGAAAAATCCGTGTTAGGTGTTCACAAGATAGCCTCGTAACTGCATTCCATTTTATTAGATATTCGAACTGTATTCTTAAGATATATAACACCTACGCTAGAGAACCGTGTTTTGTAGATCGTTATTACGTCACAATAAGACTAATAATAACATACAATAAATATTTCTTTACTGATTCTATGCGGTTTCCCAGTAAGAAGAATATGATAGCATTCCAAGAGAACTCTTTGTGTGTTACAAGCCGATGCCGACAATGCCTTTCGCTCAATACCAAAGCTGCCCGACAGGCTTTTTCTAATGTAATATCACATGAATTGTATTCTGTTATGAATATTTATGGGATGAAACTCCAGAAAAAGCCGCAAGGTAAAATGTCGACTTATAACAATAATAGCAATATTGAGAGAAAGCAATGTGTTGTGTTTATTTTAGAAACTACAGTTATAGTTTAAAAAATAAAATAATACAATCTAAACAAAATAGTTTAAAAAATGTCAAGATACGATGGGTTTTTTTTTAGTACAAAATCAAATATCAGTTTATAAAAAAGAAAAGAATACAATCTAAACAAAATAGTTGAACATTTTTCAAGATATAATGGATCTATTTTAGTACAAAGTCAAGTATCAGTTAAGACACCATTTAATATTTGTCTTCGAATACATCTAGGCTAAACCTTAATCACTTCTACAATGTGTATGGGTATTTCGTTACGAAGCTAATACTAACTGCATCACAAAGTTCCGATTACAGCAAGAAGAGCTCCCTGGTGGGACAATGGTAAATTTGTGAATTTACAATGCTAAAACATGAGGTTCGATTTCCCCTCGGTAGACACAGCAAATAGCCCAATGCGGCGTTGCTTTAAACAAACAAACAAAAATACAGCAAAAAGATGTGTACATTACTGTAAAGTTTACATTAAGGCAAGAAAAACTGGAAATTGTTAAAGGTTTGTTTTTTATTTTGTTGTTAAGCACTAAGTCACACAATTGGCTGTCTGTGATCTGCCCACCGCAAGTATCGAAATTCGATTTTTAACGTTATCGGCCCCTCACATTTAACGTTGAGTCACTGAAGGCAAGTAAAAGATTAGGGAATTAAAACCGAAGAAGTAAAAAACCCATCCGATTAAACTCCTTTTTAGCATAGGAATGTTTAGACACCTAAGATCATTAAAATGAAGTGATTGCCTAACGGGTTACGGAAAACTCTTTATTTACAGTAAAATAAAAGAATTTGATTAAACATCAGTTGTTCTTTTCTGAAGTCCAAGCTTCTTCTGGGGATAAAAAAAAATTTAGTGTGCGTATATGTTTTTTTTATAGCAGAGCCACATCGGGCTATATTCTGTGTCCACCAAGGGGAATCGAACTCTTGATTATAACGTTGTAAGTCCATAGATTTACCACTATCCCACCGGGGGATGGAACTCGTTTTTTAAACCTATCATTACATTTATGAAAAATCTGTAAATAATTCGTAAAAAAAAGAAGTATTTTAATTAAAATAATTACACTAGGGAACACAAACCGTACTTTAATTAAAATAGTTACACTAGGAAACGAAAACCGTATTTTCATTCAAATAGTTACACTAGGAAACGAAAACCGTATTTTAATTAAAATAGTTACACTAGGAAACGAAAACCGTACTTTAATTAAAATACTTACACTAGGGAACACAAACCGTATTTTAATTAAAATAGTTACTCTAGGAAACAAAAACCGTATTTTCATTCAAATAGTTACACTAGGGAACACAAACCGTACTTTGATTAAAATAGTTACACTAGGGAACACAAACCGTACTTTAATTAAAATAGTTACACTAGGGAACAGAAACCGTACTTTAATTAAAATAGTTACACTAGTTAACAAAAACCGTATTTTAATTAAAATAGTTACACTTGGAAACAAAAACCGTATTTTAATTAAAATAGTTACACTAGGAAACAAAAACCGTATTTTCATTCAAATAGTTACACTAGGGAACACAAACCGTACTTTAATTAAAATAGTTACACTAGAGAACATAAACCGTACTTTAATTAAAATAGTTACACTAGGAAACACAAACCGTACTTTAATTAAAATAGTTACACTAGGGAACACAAACCGTATTCTAATTAAAATAGTTACACTAGGAAACGAAAACCGTATTTTCTAATTAAAATAGTTACACTAGGGAACACAAACCGTATTCTAATTAAAATAGTTACACTAGGAAACACAAACCGTATTCTAATTAAAATAGTTACACTAAGGAACACAAACCGTATTTTTATCTTTGTAAACTGAGAATTTCTGTACAAAAGAATATGCTATATCTGAGAAATGTTTGAAAGTTGGACTGTAAATGCTCTATTGTTTTGTCTAAGAAAAATTCAGGCTACCAAAATAAATAAATGAAGTGTATGTTCTTTTGAAAAAGGACATTTGATTACTTTTCGAAAAAACATATATTCTTAAAATACTAATATACATAAACTGTTTGCTTATATGTTAAATAGTTTATAATATGTGTTAAGATCTATTTTTTTTTCCATTTTAGGACAATTAAATTATTTATTCATTTTTAAGAATTTTCAAGTTAAATGTGTTTAGTGGTATGAAAGTGTACTTTTATTAATCATGTAGCTCAGATTGGATAATTACACAACCAAGTATTTGTTTCTTTATTTCGAGATTTAGGAACAGCTGTTTAATATCATTCTTAACTTGTAATCCATACTGTTTTTGTTCTCATTTAGGAAGAGCAGGCAGGTCTCCATTCCTCGCAAGTTCAAGTAAGACATTCCCTCTTGCGCCCTGGATCTGAAGATATAGCCCAAACTTCCCGATTTTTACAATCACAAAATTTAGAACAAGGTCGTCAGGTTCCGCATCCCACCCCCATAAAGCCATCGGAGGATAGGATGCATTTACTTACTCTTAACCCTCGAGAATTCTTTAAGTACAAACCAGAGAAGGATTCCGAAACAGTGCTCCAGACTAACAGTTTCACCGGACTGCTGTGGGTCCATCTCCTAGCGGGTCGAGGGCTCAGACCAACCGGTCATGCCGACCACTTCCGGGACTTGTACTGCGTCATAGAATGTGATCACATACATAAAGCCAGAACCGTTGTGAGAACAGGAGACCACAGCTTTGACTGGGACGAAATATTTGAACTTGACCTTGTTGAAAATAATGAAATAACGTTTCTTCTCTATAGTTGGGACCCCAATTCTCGACACAAGCTTTGCTATAAGGGCACAGTTCACCTTCTAACGGTCCTACGAGAATCCCCGGTTCATAGTCTCGCCCTCAAGCTCGAGCCTCGTGGCACCCTCTACCTCAAAATTCATTACAAGGACCCTCGACAGTCCTTCCAAAGGCTCCCGGCACCAAGTTCTTCTGGAGTGTTTGGAGTTGACTTAGAAACGGTGGTGGCTAGAGAAAATACTGGCTTTGGCATCCCTTTAGTGGTAAAGAAATGTCTAGATGAAATAGAGAAACGAGGGTTAGACAGCGTAGGAATCTATAGACTCTGTGGCTCAGCAGTCAGGAAAAAAATATTAAGAGATGCATTTGAACGAACTACTTGGATGGTTGACTTGTCAATAGAACATGTTCCAGACATTAACGTTATTACTGGTAAGTAATGCATGTAAAAGAACATGTTTCAAACGTTAACGCCGTTATTAGTAAGCGGTACATATAAAGGATGTAGCATGTTCCAAGAATTTGAACTAGTGCGTATAAATAATGGAACATGTTTCATACATTAACGTCGTCACTAGTAAGTAGTGGGTGTAAAAGATGGAACATGTTCCAAGTATCAGTACTGTTACTAATAAACAGTAAATGTAAAGGATGGAATATGTTCCAAGTATTGATGTCGTTAATAGTAAATAGTCTGTATAAAAGATGAAACATTTTCCAAGTATTAATGGCGTTACTAGTAAGTAGTACTTATATACGATGGAATATGTTCGAAGTATTGACGTCGCTACTTGTAATCAATGCATGCATATCGAGGTTCTGCAGATGTTACTGACTTGTTTTTTTTTTTGCTGCATAGTAAAATCTTCATGATGAACTTCTTGGTAATGGTACTGTTTCTTCAGGCATAATACTGTGTTTTATATTTCTATTTTCTTTCACCAGGTGTCCTGAAAGATTACCTGCGAGAACTCTCTGAACCGCTCTTCACCAAAGGTCTCTTTGATATGCTAGTGGACGGATTGAGTGTCTGCCTTCCAGACGACCCTGAAGGAAACGCCAAACTCATGTTCAGTATACTTGAGTGTCTGCCTAAAGTTAATAGAGTAAGATGTTACGCCTTAATATGAGTACTAATATACTGAATTCCACAGTGCATTTCGGCACTTAACCATAACGTTACATGCACAAAGAATAATAGTTGTTGTGGTGAGAAATGATTGGTTGTAACATGAAAATCGTGACTCTTAGTACTGATTTATTTATAAAAGTGAATAGAGGCAAATCCTTATTCTATAGAGACAGATCGTTATTCTATGTTTTGCCAACTATAAGTGGATACTTCTTAATTAAAAATCAGGAAGGAAAGGTTGATTTTCTGTCAAACACCTTGTTCAATTTTGTATTTCCTACTTGTGTCTAACGTGGCCTAAAGGTTAGCTTACCAGACTGCGTATCAAAAGGTCCAAGATTTGGGATGTGATGTATTGCTGAGCATGCTCCATATGTTCAACTCTAGAGACTATATAGCTTTGACAATCAATCCCACCATTCCGTTAAGAGTAATCGCATTGGGTGGTGGGTGTTGCTAAATGGTTGCTCGCCCTCAGGTCAGCAGTTCTAAATTACGGATGTCTATATATTAATTTTTTTTATTCAAATTAAAAAAGATAAGCACAATACACTCAATACAAATAGAAAATAATAGTATAAAAATTATATTATACAATCTCATAAAAAAATATAAAAAAATCCACAAGATTACTCGATGTAAATCAGAAATATACTTGAACACCAGGGGTCTCCGAACTTTCATTTAGCCAATATTGCATAAGGTGATTGTTGAGGTTAAAAATACTACAAACACCAAAAATATGTCATCATAAACTAATTCTACTAATTTATTTGTGTTTGTTTAAAATAATACTCATGATTCTGTGTAACAGAACGTTTTGTAAAACGATGTCATCAGACAGATCAGGTTTGTCCAAAAGGGGAGCACATCCGTGGCTCTAATTCTCCAGCTATGGCTTAAAGAATAATAAAATTAGTGTATAGTAGCCCAGTTGCAGCTCAATGTTGTAGCCCACCTGGGTCTCATGGATATATATTTTATACTTATAAACTTTCCCTAGCTACTCACCAGAGGTTAATCACGAACAAGTTTCAAGAATTACCATTAGTCCCCTTTTCTCCAATACTGGGGTATATGGGGACATCTAAAATATGTTTAAACTACAAAGATTTACGAAATAAACAAGCCTAATCACACATATTTGACAATAATGAATGTAAAATATATATTAGACACTGAAAAGGAGGTCAAAAATATGTAAGCTTATAATATGGATATCAAATATGATAACAAGCAAACTGTATCATCTATGGAAGTATATATATATATATAGTAGAGACGGCTGATATGGGTATAGAAAACTTTTACTTGAAAAGCACAAAACAACTAACAAAGTTTCGACGTCTCTAGGTCATTCTCACCTGCTAATGACCTAAGGAGGTCGAAACGTTGTTATTTATTTTCTGCTTTTCAAATGAAAGTTTTCTATACCCATATCAGCCGTCTCTACTATACATATTTTTACTTCAAGTGGGTTCCTCTTCATCTTGAATCTGTGGAAGTAGTGTTGTGATTTACTAAAAGCTTTGACATTAAAGTTAATATCATGGAAAGACTGTGGTATTCGAACCAATAATCCATTTTAAATTAATTATAAACTTAGATGGAGTAGTTTTATCCCTAATCGTCCCATTTTTACAACAAGTATTTATGACAGCGTTATTTGCTTTTGTAGTGCACGGCCATGGTTTTAATGGATCATCTCAAGCTAGTATCCAACCACAGTGAAAGAAACAAGATGACATCACAGAGCTTAGCCATGTGCTTCGGGCCTGTCGTCATGTGCCACACCGAAACTGGAGATCCTGCTGTCGACCTCCGGAAAACTATTGATGTCTTCAGATATCTTATAGATATCTGGCCCGCCAAAAAAGGTAATGATATTATAAAGAACGCTTCTTTAGGTTACAGTATATCTATTCGTTTCATAATAGTATACTAGAACGAGTCCTTTTATGTACACTTGTTTTAGCTCGACATTATGAATTGTTTTATTTTAAAAACTGATCAATTGACTTCGTTTTGCAAACAAACAATGCTTTCTTTGTTGACTTTAAAGTCTTCTCTTTTACTTCGCACAATTTCTCAGTCGTACAGGTTGTTCGGAAATTGCTATAACAAAAAAGTTTCAGAGACAGAAGAGTTGAATTTAGAATTTTTTTTAGACCAATCAAGATACATTTCGGCAAGCGTTGAATATCGTGGCAACATGACACAGGCCTAATAGGAATTTCAACGCATTCAGAAATATATGCTAATAAATTCATTAACATATTTTCCGAATTATTTGAATTACCCCCTTCACCACCCCCATCCCATTACGGATGGATGTACTCAAAACCAATACTGTACATTTAAGACAAATCTATATATAAAATGTTTCTGGATATTAACATCTTAAGAAGCGCTGGTTTAAATGAATTCGAAAATATATGTTAACCACTTAGTTTACATAGTAATTAATAATAATAATATTACAGACTTTTCTATGGTATCATGCGATACACTATCATGGTGTGATAGTGATATTGGTGGGAAGTGCGTACACTGTAAGAAGAAACATGTTCAGTTTTATGCGAATCTACACAAGTGGCTAGTTGCAACATTGACGTCACGTTCCCCAAAGTTTGTTATCATGAACAATATCTATTTATGGAGATAGAACATCATATTATTAGCACCTAATGTATGGTGTGCTCAATCTTAATAAAAAATTTCTTAGGTAGACACACTTGTTGTCTGGACAAGTTTCTTAGGTAGACACGCTTGTTGTCTGGACAAGTTTCTTAAGTAGACACGCTTGTTGTCTAGTCAAGTTTCTTAAGTAAATACACACGTTGTCTACACAAGATTCTCAAGTAGGAACATTTGTTATCTAGAAAAGTTTGTCAAGTAGACACAGTTGTTGTCTAGACAAGTTTCTTAAGTAGACACGCTTGTTGTATAGACAACGTGTGTATTTACTTAGAAACTTGACTAGACAAGATTCTCAAGTAGGAACACTTGTTATCTAGACAAGTTTGTCAAGTAAACACAGTTGTTGTCTAGACAAGTTTCTTAAGTAAACACATTTGTCTATACAAGTTTCTTGGGTAAATACACACGTTGTCTAAACAAGTTTCTTGGGTAAATACACACGTTGTCTAAACAAGTTTCTTGGGTAAATACACACGTTGTCTAAACAAGTTTCTTAAGTAGACACGCTTGTTGTCTAGACAAGTTTCTTAGGTAAATACACCGTTGTCTAGAGAAGTTTTTCAAGTAGACACACTTGTCGTCTAGACAATTTTTCTTAAGTAGAGAAACTTGCTGTCTAGACAAGTTTCTCAAGTAGAGACCCTTGTTGCGTGAGACATGTGACGGTTTTTGCCACTGACGTTTGTATTCGTGTATTTTCACCTGTTACAAGTCGCCGCACATTGCTTATCATGGCTGAGGCACTAGTTGTTGCATATATCTTTCTGGATGGCCCAGGTGCCCCAATTTGATCAGCATTTCTTTGTTATCTAATGCCGTTGAATTAAAGAGATACCTCTGTCTGGGAAATTCTCACACTCAGATCTGGGTACATCTTTATGATGTGAGTGTATGAATATTTTGCGTCAGAAAAGGCTGTTACATACCCTTCCCAAAGACGTTCAAATTTCGTTGACATCACACTAACTACGAAACACTACACAAAGTCAAATGTAGTTCTTATACTTTCCGTTCCACCGCAACTTCATATCCGCTACGGTTGTCACGTTTCGTATCACGTATACTCAACCCTTTATTGCTTGAAAATAAGTATGTGTAAAGAATTTACAATCACCTCAGTTTCTTTTATTTTTATTATATTTGACATTGGCACCTAAGTAGGTTTTAAGTCATCTGAATATTTCCATTATTTTCCAAAAAGGGTCCTTTCAAAAATGTTTACCATCTTAAATTTATTGACTTTTTATTATCATTTATAACGATTTCAAGAACCGGAAGGTGGAATGACATTACAAAACAGATATGAACTTTTTTTTTTCAGTAGCATGAAAACCAACTAACCAGAAAATAAAATTACTTCTTATACACATAATTTAATAGAAGATCTACTCCAGTGGCTCAGCGGTATGTCCGTGGACTTATAACGCTAAAAACGGGGTTTCGATACTCGTGGTGGGCAGAGCACAGATAACACATTGTGTAGCTTTATGCTAAACTACAAACAAACAATAAAAAATATAATTTGTTTGTTTGTTATTAAGCATGAAAGCTATGCAATTGGCTATTTGTGTCCACTGCTGATATCAAAACCCGATTTAGATTTTCCGTTGACATTTGAAGTGACCTCATTGTAGTTATTATTTATTTTAATCACATCATACAGAATACAGTTTTCTGCAAAAATTTAAACCAGTTTTTTTTCAGCAACCCTTAGCCTAATGTTTTCGATTAAACGACATGAACTACACCCATCATCTCATTACTTATGTCGTTAATAAAAATTACAGTGAGGTGTAAAGCTTAGCTCTATTAATAATACGCTTGCGTTTATCTGTCCGGAACTTTTCTCGCTTCTCAATTAAACGCTACAAATCTCGTATCGTTAGAAAGGCCTTTGTCAGTGGAGTCCGGATTGCATACTGGATTCTCCATTCAGAACCACTTTACCTGTTTTTTGCTTAGTCAAACTTTTTCATGAGTATGGTACACGATGCACAATGTCTATATCGTCACGTGACGACTGGCTTGGATTTAACCTTTTTTATTATTTGCAAAGTATTCCATGTAAACAACACTTAACCCGCGTGTAATTTCCTAAAAATTTAACATTCCACTATGTACAATTGCTATGGGCTTTCTCGACTTATTTAGGTCTAAAGTATGCATACGCAGTTCGTTCAAAACCATATTCTTATCACTTTGTGAACAGGCATTCAGACGTTTCTGCATATTCAGCTAAGTTTGACTTCATTCTAGCTTGACATTTACTTTACAACAATTTAATTTCGGTTCGTTTCATAGACTTCTATAAACATCTTTTAGCTACAATGAACGCTCATAATTGTTACGTCTAGGTGAGTTTATTTGTCTGACCGAGTATTTATCGATCTAACGCATAATACCTGCAAAAAAGCGTAGCTTAAATGTCTTGTATGAAAATGATAGAATAAGGAAAATTCAAGCAAAGGGCCTGAAAACTACAGCAAATGTTTTGTGGGTCGCGGTTAGTTTAGTATAATATTCAAAACTGGTAGTAATTTTATAGAAAAATCAGAAAACATTGAGAGTTTACTCACCCTTAAAATAAAACTTTTTCACCTAGCCGATACAAAAACTTTTGGTGAGACGATGACCGATCCTACCTTTGTTGGTGTCTGTCTATTTCTTCTAAGACTCCTTTTTAATACACAACATAAGGAACAGACTATTTACTTGAACGAGTCAAGAATGAAACAGAAAAATGTTTTGTTTTGGAGACAACCCGATAACTCAAGTGATTTAGGAAAATGACCGTTCTTTTTGGAGTGAATAAGTTCTGTAGACCGTCGTCCGGATAATTTGTTTTGTACATATTACAACATCACTTCCAGTTGCACAAGTATTATATACGTATTTTTACTGACTCTCCAGTCCCATTAAGCGCAGTGAAAACATTAATCACGAGAATATTCCTCGTTAAATATCATGCAAGACTTCAGATACATTTCCAAAAAAAAAAAATCTTTCAAAACGTTTGTCTAGCTTAGATTAGTGATAAATAATTAACGTTGTATTATCTTTATCTGTTAGGTTTAAACACTTTAAAAACTCAGATTTTAGCTTAATGTAGAAATATCAGTCAAAATAGGCTTATATTTAGCTTCAGCTAACTCTTAAAGAAACAGTAATTTTTTGCTTTCTTCTTGTACTTGAGCAGATTCTAAAGTACTTTTGATTTGTTGTTTTAAGTCTCAGGTAATGGGAGCAGCGACTCTAGTAACAATGAACAAAATGGGCACCCAGCCCAAGATCCAGAGGAAGAGAAGAAGACAGTGGCATGGTCTGTTGGTCATCAAGTTCTTCCTATATCTACATGTTAATAACGGTTGTTTAAGAAGTGCCGCAGTTTGTTTCATCCATGGTTCCAAAGAAGCCAAAAAAAAAAAAGCTGCCTCAAGGAACATATAAAATTTCTTTAAAAAAAAAGACACGTAAAATTATTTAATCCATAAGGTACGAATGCAAGTATAATTATGTTCTAAAGTTATTTGTATCTTTCACGTCTGTGGGTCCTTCTATGAAATTATAAATATAAAAATAATTGTTACGTGAATCTAACTCAACGTTACATAGTATGCTCAGCAGATGCCGCTTTAGCCTTTCCGTTAATGTATCCATCTGTCGGCAGAGTTTGTTCCTAGTTCAACCTCATATGTGCACTTAATCTGAATCCTATTGTTAGTTAGAAGAACCCCTGTACGTAGAGACTTTGACGTAGATACTCAGTTGTTGTTTAATGTCAGTGGATTTTGTTAAAGACACACAAACTGTTAAGGAGAATGATTTATTGTCCGTCATTTCTTTGTTTTTAATAAACGACTGACTGATCTCTTGTGAATTTGTTGAATTTGAACAAAACAAAACCACGTGTCTCTTTCAGATTATCCTTCAAGCTATTGATCTGTTCATATACCGTTCACAACAAGTGGGGGGGGGGCACATACTGCGTCAGCTTTCAGTAATATTGTGTTGTTTTTCCTCTTACATCTTAATTGACCAATAAATCGGGTGAAATCGCTCATTTGCCACGTGAAACATTAGCAGGAATTAATGGGGCTAATTCAAATACTGGTGGTAGTTTTGTTTAAATTTTTTGCGTGGCTTGTATTTCATTAGGAACCTTAGAAACAGTTACGCTATGTACCCACAAGTAGTTTGGTGCATAAATAGTTTAGAAAGATGTTTAAAAAACTGATGTGGCCCACATGGATCGAACCGGTAATTGTAGCGTTAATTACGCTGTTTCCAAAGTCACCTGGTTGCAGCTTACCATCGGGAAATGTGGAACTGCATTTTTTACCAGAAAATCAGGATCAACCCAAACATGACACAATGTTTTCTTTTTAACTTTTAACAAATAGTAATCGTGTCAAATAATCGACACATCTTTTTTAAATACGTAAGCTATCTACGAATACGAGCTGTATCAGGATTTTTGAGTTTTAGCAGTTAAAAACATGACACAAAATAGTGACTATTGTTTATAACGTCCTTTAATTATATTCAGCATTACAATTTCCTCCGTTCAAAAGCATTTACAACTGTGAAACCCTATAAAGTTGCTTTAAATATTCATATTGAATCCAAATCGTGTATTTTTATACGAAAATGCATTATTGGATACCAAACACTTCAACTAAATACAGTTAAAAAATATTGATCTTACATCATACCTCATTCCAACATGACATTTTGACTCTTCCCTAGGTTTAAAGTTAAAGACCTTTAACAAGATAACGGTCAAACAAATTTTACAAACAAGTTAAATGCTTACTAGTGTGTGTGGCCAATACTTTCGTTTAGTACTATTGTGCAGCCTAATAACAACAAAAAACCAATAAACAGGACGAAAACTTTAATCAACCGATGGCCGCCATCTTTAAATTCGGATGGAATTACTTCCATAAAGATCACGTGGATGAATGTTCCAGCTGCAATTGCTTGAAGAACAGCACTGACAGTTTGTCCACCGATAGATTGGTTTCTACCCACACACAGGCCAACTATCTGAAAAATAATGTGAAACAAATTCAAATGTTTATTTAATTGACTTTGGATATAGTCTAAGAACTAATAATAATAATAATTCAGGGTGGTCCAAAATTATCTCTTCTATTTTCAAATTTGATAACTAAATAAATAAGAATATACAACCATGCAGTTTTCAACATTTAGTAGCTAAGCTCAAAGAGTTTTTACTGTCATGTTTTTTTGTTGTTGTTTTTTTCCACTCCACTGATTAGTATCATTCAGTAAAACGGCAACCTTGCAGGAAAGGGCTCAATGTGTGGAATGGCTTGCAGAGACCAAGTCGATGTCTGTGGTGCAGCGTAATTATAGATGCCAGTACAGGAAAGAAGTATGGGGGTATGTTAAGGATATCGTGTATCGCACACCTATAGCGAACATCACGGAGCAAAAAACCAGGATAACGGACACCATCGCCACTGTAACTGTGGGCATCTTACAGTGAACATGGACTGAAATCGAATATCGGTTAGACGTGTTGAGAGCCACTAATGGTGCACATGTAAAAGTCTAGTGACATGTCCATAAAAACTGTTTGAGTTAGGCTACAAGATGTTGAAAACTGCTTAGTTGTATTTCTTGAGTTATTTAATTATAAAATTTTAAATTAGAAAAGATAATTTTGGATCACCATGTATTTTCACCAGTGAAGTAAGGTAAAAGTTTTCAACAATTAGTTTTAGGAATTATTAGTGTGAAAAGATTTAAGAACACTAATAAAGCAGGTAAGTTAGTAGTACTCTCTCATTTTCTTCTTAATTGAGGATAATTTATAAACATAAAATCACAAGTTTGCAAAAGACATTTATAAATAGAAACAGCAACTAAATGTCCTAAGGCATCTCATCAGTTTTCATTTCATTAAACCTGCACATTAACTGGTCAATAGAAGATATACGAACAACACAAATGTTAAGATAGAAGTTCCAGAAGGTCAATTTGTTTGTTTGTTTTCAGATATTCGCGCAAAGCTACACAAGACTATATAGCGCAATTTTTGGGCATAGCCGTTCCTAATTTTCAATTGATAAATTTAATTGGTGTTTCTCGACCCACCGGTCATCACTATGTGTGAAAGGATCACGAACTGAGTTTCAAATATATAAAGAGTTTATTTACTTAGTGAGTATTTAGTAAGCCAGATTATTCTTTTGCATTAAAGCTATTTGCTATGTCGCGACTGACCATATGGAACCTGAGACAAGAAAAGATTGAGAACCACTGAATTAGAGGAAACTTAAAGACAGCTAACCAACAACATCCAGCGCCAACTGTTAAGCTACTCTAATCGAATAATAGTGTTTGACTGTCGCCCTTATAGCACATCCATTGCCCCAACGTGCGAAGTCCGTTTTTGCGGCATCGAGACGTGAACCATGAACCATCCGATTCGCAATCAGGCACGCTACCACTAGGCCACACCCTGCACGAAGATAAATGAGTGGTATAAGTTTCAAGACAGCGAAGTTTGAACAAGTCAACAAAAGATAAACGAACAGCATAAGTCTCAAGACAGCAAAGTTTGGGCAGGTCAACAAAAGATAAACGAACAGCATAAGTCTCTAGACAGCGAAGTTTGGGCAGGTCAACAAAAGATAAACGAACAGCATAAGTCTCTAGACAGCGAAGTTTGGGTAGGTCAACAAAAAATAAACGAACAGCATAAGTCTCTAGACAGCGAAGTTTGGGTAGGTCAACAAAAAATAAACGGACAGCATAAGTCTCAAGACAAAGAAAATTGAGCAGATCTATAGAAAATGAACGGTTTAAGTTTCAAGACAGAAATGTTTGAGCAGGTGAACAGAACATATATGAACAGTATATGTTTCAAAGCAGAAAAGTTTTAGCACGTGCTAATTCTTCTTTCATAATTTGATGAGCAAACAAAGTTCATTCTGTTAAGATAAAGTCTGTTAAGCAACACTAGCCAAGGGTTGGTCCTGTGGTAAAGCTCTGGACTTCTGAGTTCGAATCCACGTGAAAACACAAATTATTCCCTACAATTCAAGCTGTAGGTGCCATATAAGAGTTACAATCAACCTCTTAGCGTGGAAGGTGGGTGGGTGGTAGGGTGCTGCTGACAGTTCAAATTCATATACGACGACAGGCAGGCTTAGCAGTTTTTGTCATAAATATAAAACATAAATAAATACTATGGTTTTAGTAATCTTAACGTTCTTTTCGGTTATTCCATAAACTATTTTAAAAAGAGTTAACATTTTTTCGAATTTTTATGCGATTCATGAACCATGTCGATTATGGCAGGATGCAAGCTCCCCCTAGTGGTAGGTTTAATAACTTAATTACGTACGAAACTATTGTATTATTACAAATAGACATATTAGATAATTCTATAAGACACTAAGAACAAAACTTCTCATTTTTCATCATAAAAACGACAGACAGCTTTTATTTTGTATTTAAGTTATAAAAGAGATTTATAACGATTATTACCTAAAAGATCCAGGAAACTGGAAAAAAATAATAATTAATTGTACCATTAAAGAAACCACTTCATTAAATTTTAAATACTGTAATCTGTCATCCTAAGTTGACTAAAAGAAGTTTTAAAGAAAGCGACAGAGTAAGCTTGTTTTTATTTTGTTTGTTTGTTTCAGAATTTCAAGCAAAAGCTACAAGGGCTATCTGTGCATAATCATCCCCAATTTTTAAACTGACAGTGAAAGTAGCTAGTCAACTGTACCCACTGTCAACACTTGGGTACTATTTATGTCTGTTCGAATATAATCGTCACTCTTGTAACGACCTACGGAACGCGTTTTTTGCGGCAGCGGATCGCGAACCATGAATTATCAGACTCACAGTCAGGCTAGGCTAATCATTAAACCACACCTGACCCAACAAATAAGGTCTCAACTTCCAAATCTCTGCATAGACTTTTATCCTAGCTTCATCAGATTAGATTTTAAATAGAGCAACATATTAGGTCTCATCACTAGATTATCTAAATTAGGTTTTAATAAAAGCTGCACTTGAAAGCTTTAATTGAAAGTCTACTATAAGTCTGTACTTTACTTTGTCGTTATAAGGCTAAAATGGAGCTAATAGTTCAGTCAACGTACGGCGTTTTTCTCCTCAGCAGTGAAGAAAGCTTGTTAAAATAATTACGCTACTCTTGTTATTTAGGGCGTACTGTCAGTTAAAATAAGTGTCTTATTAAATGAAATTACTAAGTTCGTATGTGTAATTGATACATTCAATTAATTTCATACTGCGTATAACAGTAAACTATAGTTCAACTGGTTATAATAATCTTTCTTTTCTGTGTGTATGTAAAAACTAAATAATGCTTATAGTTTTTAATTTTTGACTCGTTTTACTGTTTGATGAATGATTTTTTAGCACTTGAAATTATTCGAAACCTTAAAAACTAGAAATTCAGAAAAAATAATCATAAAATACAATTTCGCGATGAAACTACAATTTTATAAAAGTTTGTTGTCTGTTTATTTGTTTTAGAGCAAAACCACACTGAACTACCTGCTGTGTCCGTTGCAAGTCTGTAGACATACAGTTGTCCTTTTATAAAAGACATTAATAGTATTTATTGTTGATCCACTATGGACAACTTTACATGTTTCTACTTTTAAAAACCAGCACAACGCTAGAAACCGGGTTTCGATACCCGTGGTGGGCAGAGCACAGATAGCACATTGTGTAGTTTTGTGCTTAATTTCAAACAAACAAAAACCAGCAATCTTTTTTTGGATAAAAAGAATGTGGATTTCATAGAAATTTATTTAAAAGAAAAAGATGTGCAGACATCTGGATAAGGCTTGGCATGACTAGGTGGTTATGGCGCTCGACTAGCAATCTGTGGGTCGCGGGTTCGAATCCCTGTTCCACCAAACATACTCGCTCTTGTGTACCTTTGCACGTAATTCCAATTAAACTGCATGCTTAAACCAATAAATTTTCATATGTGAAAAATCTTCCATATTAAGTCAACAAGATTTAGTTATATATATATATATATATAATCATGAACGTGCATGTCCAAGTGGCTATTGTTTTGACTTTTATTGAGGAGTATTTTCCTAATATTTAAATGATGTTGCGAATGTCATCAAATGAGTTTTAAATCTTGAAAAGATCATCATCGGTATCAACAAGTTTTGAATTATCCAGTTTAGAAATCGTAGTTGTAACTCTATTTAGTCTCCTTCTTTGGAACTGTGTTTGAATATAGTTGAAATCACATGTTTCATGTTGATTTATGTCTCTCATGTTTCTCACAGTGGTGTTTGCAGAACAGTATATTAATTTTTTTAGGTTTTTCATTTGCGAAGAAATGCAATTCGTTTACGTTGCAATCGAAAAATTGTACATAGCATCATTTTATATGGAAAGAAACTCAGACTATTTTGGTCACCAGGCAATAATGGCAGATGCTCATCCTTTTATGCACAAACACATACGAGAGGCCATTTGCCCATTTCCTTCCGAAGCCTTTTAACGTAAGTGTGTCAGTCAGTCCGATTTTTGTCGCCACAATTTAACGCTCTCTTTCTACTTACGTCTTTTTGCATTATCTGGAGCACTTAAAAATGTAGCCAAACCCTCAATCGCGCTTTTTTATAACATTTGCTTACGTGGCATCAGCATCACAAATTCTCACCATTCTTTCATATGATGTTTTCTTCTGGGAACAAAATGGTTTCATTGGAGCTTTTAGGAACGTATTGAACGAAAATGAATACGTCTCTCTCTCTCTCTCTCTAAGAACAATATGAAGTTAGAAAATAAGAATTTAGATTGAAAAAGGTTCTTATTAGCCTTTCTTTTATTAGTGACATTAAACCACTTTCAAAAAGTCGTCCCCCTGTGGGTCAACGGTAAGTTTACAGATTTACAACGCTAAAATAAGGGGTTCGATTTCCTGCAGTGGACAGATCACAACTAGCCAATTGTGCGGTTTTGCGCGAAAAACTACCAACAATCAAAGTATTGTATGTTAC